CCAGGCGGTGAAAATGCCCGGATGTCCGCTCCTGAGGATAGGTTGTTGAGCACTCGGGCATTTCTGAGAAGTGCAAACTTTGAAAATGCATTCTATCAGAACATTCGGATTAATTTACATGACTGTATAAATTTAGGAAAAAGTATAATCTTCATATAATTTACTGTAGCGAAGATTTTATAAAAAAATAAAAATAAAACACAGTAATAACCTATAAATCGAGTGTACAGGTCACCAGGATCTACGATTTCTGATACATGTTTAGAAAAGTGCAGTCACGTGGTGATTGCAAACATGATTCCTGAAAAACTCACACCCAAACAAAATTTGTAGAACAGTTTGTGCAAACAAAAATTTGACGGGATTTGACGTGTTTCAAAATATCCATGAACAGTTTCGGCAGTTTGTTAGAAAAATTACACAAAACAAAGCCTGGAATTAATTTGCAGCAATTAGTTTTTTTTTTAATCACAGAAATAAAATACTAGTAGTCGAGGCTATATTGTAAAACCATTTATTTTCACTGGAATTTAATTTTACTATTTTGATGTTTTGAGCAATTTCTGACTGGGTTTTGAATTCACGAACGTCACTAAGTTTTATTGTTATAATTTTATATTATCACATGAATTTTATTTAGCGGTTTTACTTATCTGTAAAAACTGTGACTAAAAATACCTTTACAGTATATTATAATTACTGTACCACCATCAAGGAAGATATGTTTTTGCCGGTATACGTCTGTTGTTTTGTTTGTTTGTTTGTTTGTTTGTTTGTTGTCTGTCTGTCTGTCTGTCTGCAGGATAAAAAAGTGATAGATGGATTCTCATGATATTTTCAGAAGTGGCTGCCCTTGGAAAACTAAACTCTTATCGATTGGGATCTTGTTGTCTTAGAAACAAAAATGTTTTAATTTTATTTATAGCAACTAGTGGTTTTATATATTTTGAGTTTGGCGGACCAATTTGAAGTTTAATGAACCAATTGTTTTATAAAGCATGGTATGACTCAACTCACGTCATAAACTTGTCTGTCTTGTTTGTCGGAGTATATGGTAGTAGGAATATAGGTTTGTCGGGATATATGTTTGTCGGAATATAGGGGTATCGGAATATAGAGTTGTCGGAATATAGAGCTGTCTTAACCTTTTTAAGTAGCTGTGTTCATTTTTTCTACCGTTTCACAACTTTCATAAACATTTCTTTTGTATTTAGTTCAACTCTTCTAATTCAGTCATGTTTCTCTCTCTCTTTTTTTAGAAAACACATGTTGAGGAAAGATGGTAAATCTACGTAGACGGATGTTATTCGTTGCATTCGCCATGTTGGTGCCTTTGCTGTTCACTGTGTTGAACATTGATAAGGGAATAGAAATAACGCACATCGGGGTTGGTCAGAATAGTGATATTGCCCTCAATGGCAGATACGGCGAGTTTAGGGATGACACTATGAAAGTTGGATTTGACATTGCTGGACACACAAACAGAATTGCTGCAGATGCACCTGGGTACGAACACAGCACCAGTGACAATCGCGCAGCAGTTGACAGGGTGGACAAGCTAACACGAAACAGACAAGCCAACAGTAGCAATGCCACAATTATGAAAAGGGGGCATGCGATGGTTCCGAGTGTTGTGGGTGAGTCTGAACACTCGCAGCACACGTCACTAAAGCAGCTGGACGTCAGAGCATTTGATGATGATACAATTATTCCTTCATTAGTCGATAACTCTTCTTACATGACCAATCAGGAATCATTATCGCATGAGATCACAAATAGTTCTAATGCTTTCAAAAAACAGGTTGATCCGAGAGGAAATCCTGGCATAACCCTCATTCGGAATGTTGATTTGCCAAGTGGGCAAAACAATCTGAAACAAAATCAAGATATTCACAGAAAGAAAGAGAATGGCGGTGGTCATGGATACAAGAGAAAAAATGATACAAGTAGAGAAGTTTTTGGCGTTGGAAAAGTAGACAATAATCTCCATGCAGAAGAACACGCTTCTAGGGCGGAATTGTTGGACTCGGGTGTGAATAACGATCACACCGCCAGACAAATTGATAATTTACATGAGTATAATAAAGAAAGGTGGGGAAAACAACAGAAAGGTCGTGTGTACAGATTAAGTGAAACTCAACCGTATTCCGTGAATTGGTGGGACTTGATTACAGAGGGCGAATTCAAAATCCTCGTTGATGAGTTCGCAAATAAGGATCTTCGTTTTGGAGATGAGTATCCAGAGTGGTTTAGTCGTACAGATATAATTTGCATGGAAAAGCTGTCTACAAATGATGTCATTGATGCTTTTGTGAAAAAAGATCACCCACGACTGCGTTTGTTGGTATTCAATAACACGGGTAGTGACCGACTATTGTCGTTTAAAAGATGCACGGACCAGTGCGGTATACAGAAGAGTACGAGGGACTGGTTCGAGATTGTTTCATTTCACCTGGATCGTGTGATCGGCTTGAAACGAGCATTGCCGGCAGTGGCTCGCATTATCACCGCCAAACCAGGTTCGGGCTTGTCGATGGACACACGTTTCAGCGATGGGTTGCCACGACCCGTTATTTGGTGGGACCCTGATATCAAGCATGGCGGAGAGTTCATGTTTGATCAGAATTCGCTTGATTTAAGCTGGACGGACTACCAGAGAGAGTTGCGGTATAAATGTAACTCACAGACAAAAACGTTGCGTGATTATCATTGCCGAACCAAGATTATGAACATCGAGTGGAGTAAACTGGCGATGTTTGATTTTATTTTGCAGGTAAGAAATATTTTATTTGGAGATGCAGTCTTTGGTAACTTGATGATGTAAAGCGCGGTGGTCGTCGCGCAGCGCGTGTTCGAATTTCATTTAAATAAACAATGTATTTTACACGCGTTGTATACGTCGCTATGAGTCCCATATCGAACAGGACGCGGCACGACGACTGTCACCCTTTAAAAACATGTTGGTAACATTTAACAACGTATCAGATATATTGTAACCGACGGACGTGTAACATTTCTGGCTCCACTCATACCAAATACACAAATACATGTACTTTAAAGCGGGAGGGTCATCACCTGCGCACGCGCGGGAATTGAGTCCCAAGCGATGATAACAACACGCGCTAAAAACTCATGGGTAGACGCTTGTTTGTAAACAATGACACGCGAGGACCACCTGACGCATGCGTAGGTGACGACTCCCCCCCGCTTCAAAGCGTTTACTCATGAGCGCGTGCGCAGGTGACCCGCTTTAATTAATTTATCCGGAATAACATAAATTTGTGTCAAACCAGAAATGACATATAATGCAACTCTGCAATCTATTTGTCAATATAACTCCTATTTTCAGATTCACGATCGATTAGACAGAAACTGTTGTGGATATGACAGAGATGAAGGTGAAAATTGCGATTGGAGGCACGACGGTTGTGATGACATAAACAAACAGTTCCTGGTCCATATCATGGTTCATAAATATAGTGTATCAAGATTAGTCTTCATCGACAATGCTGGCAACCACAAACGAAGTAGGGACCATTTGAATTATAGACATTTAAAAGGAATAACAGAGTAAGAAATCTCCTTTAATGTACTAGCATTAAAGGGCGGTAGTCGTCGTGCCACGCATGCGCGAGATATATGGGTCTCATATAAACAACGATAGCGACTTTGATTGTTGCGCAGAACAACGAGTACAAACGTTACCAAGCTTTAAAGTGTACACTTTAATTCGGTATTTTTTAGGTGATTGGAAAGTATCCAAAGAGTCACCGGCGGTAATTAGTGCAATTCGCGCCCAGATCTCATACTTGTGATTTCCTCTAGAAGAGCACATTGGATTGTGGGAAAATCGATGTTTATCAACACAAATGTCGCACATGCGCAGTGCGACGACCACAGTCTACTAGACTAGGCTGAGCACCCTAGAAACAAACAACACGCAGAACATATGATTTTTGCACACGATTGTACTTGGAAACAATTCTGTCCACCTGCAGTGACAAGATCCAGGGTGGAAATCTAATTTACATGCACGTAATATTAACATAGAACACAGGTTTTGAACTCGAAACTACGTATTAAAGTGCACGTCGCTGATGTATGTAGACACACGCCCAGTTGCTCCATAATGCACCCCCAAAAAGACAGCTTAGATCCTGAATTGTTCGAGTTACGTACATAGGGTTACGAACATAGTTACGTACATATAGTTACGTACATATAGTTACGTACATAGATTTACGACATAGAGTTACGTGCATAGATCTAGAGTTACGGACACATAGTTACGGACATAGAGTTACGGACATAGAGTTACGTACATAGAGTTACGTACATAGAGTTACGGACATACAGTTACCAACATAGAGTTACCAACATAGAGTTACGTACTGTACATAGAGTTACGGACACAGAGTTACGTACAGTTACGTACATAAAGTTACGTACATAGAGTTACGTACATAGAATTACGTACATAGAGTTACGTACATAGTGTTACGGACATAGAGTTACGTACATAGAGTTACGTACACATAGTTACGGACATAGAGTTACGTACATAGAGTTACCAACATAGAGTTACCAACAGAGAGTTACGTACTGTACATAGAGTTACGGACACAGCGTTACGTACAGTTACGTATATAAAGTTACGTACATAGAGTTACGGACATAGGTTTACGTACATAGAGTTACGTACATAGAGTTACGAACATAGTTACGTACATAGAGTTACGTACATAGAGATACCAACATAGAGTTACGTACTGTATATAGAGTTACGGACATATAGTTACATACATAGAGTTACGGACATAGAGTTACGTACATGGAGTTACGGACATAGAGTTAATACATAGAGTTACCAACATAGAGTTACGTACTGTACATAGAGTTACGGACATAGACTTACGTACATAGAGTTACGTACATAGAGTTACATACATAGAGTTACGGACACAGAGTTACGTACACAGAGTTACGAACATACAGTTACGTACATAGAGTTACGTACATAGAGATACCAACATAGAGTTACGTACTGTACCTAGAGTTACGGACATAGAGTTACATACACAGAGATACCAACATAGAGTTACGTACATAGAGATACCAACATAGAGTTACGGACAAAGAGTTACGGACATATAGTTGCGGACATAGAGTTAATACATAGAGTTACCAACATAGAGTTACGTACTGTACATAGAATTACGGACATAGAGTTACCTACATAGAGTTACGGACACAGAGTTACGTACATACAGTTACGAAAATATCGACTTACACAAATTTCGAGTTAAGGGCAACATAAATTTGTTGCTTTGCTTAAAGGGCGGTGGTCGTCGCGCTGCGCATGTGCGACATTTTGTTGATTTTCCCACAATCCAATGCGCTCTTCTAATGGAAATCACAAGTATGAAGTTTGACCTGGACGCGACTTACACTGATTACACTAAAGACTCCCTCGATACCTTTCAATCACCTAAAACACGCCCAGTTAAAGCTTAGTAACGTCTCAGTTTGTACTCGTTGTTCTGCGCAACAGTCAAAGTCGCCATCTTTGTTTATATGAGAATTTATATATCTCGCGCATGCGTGGCGCGACGACAACCGCCCTTCCGTTTTACGTTTCTCGAACTCGAAGTTCAGTAACAGTTAATTGAAATTTTCCCCAGTGGGCACATCAAAGGAAACCTTCTACTTCATATCCGACCTTTCCTGCACATACCATAAGGATGAAACAGTCGTAATCCAAGTGTGACAACAAATTACGATGATGAGAATTATCAGGGTGTGATTGATCGATGCATAAAACTCCCCCACTATGTTTGATTTCGGCCACGACAATGAGCGAGATGATATTGTGTCTTCTTTTCAGTCGCCAATTTTTGATTTCAGATGTTGTTCGCCCTTGATTTCCAATCAACACATCTTACCATATAATGGCTGTATTTAAAGATGCCAGTTGGATGAGATCACCTTTTAATCTAAAAAGTCGCATTTTGGTGATTATTTCAAATTCCTAATAATGAATCTAAATTACTTTCTTGATTCGAAACATTTGGAAATGTACATAATTTTAATAAAGCAGAAATTTATCATACCAAATACGAATCATTTGTTTATTTGGTGTCAGGAATTCTGGCATCAAGAGGTATGAATTAAATAAAACATAGTTGAACTTTGGTGACCTTGCCCTTTGTTATATAATATTATTCCCTTTATCATTGTATGTTTCAGTATGAATATGCATTGTCAAAATTAATTTTGAATACAAACAAGTTTTTCATTTGATAACTTTGAACTAAACAAAATTTCTATTAGCTTCAGATCTTGATAAAAGTTTGGCACCCAATTCATAAGAGTGCTTATATTGATTTTCTGACATCTTGTTTTCTGTAAATATTTTATAAATAGGTTTGCAAATGTGTATCAAACTGCAAAAAGAATGAGTTGGTTTTGAAACCCAGTATAGTATTCCCATGGTATGGGATACATTACCAAGGATATTATTACAAGATAAATGATTTGCTTCATTGGACACATACAACAATGCATATTTCCACTGAGATCAGTGACCTTTGAATGTGTATCACCAGTGATCAGTCAAGTAGAAACTGTCAAAATATATTATCAGATTTTTTCAATTTGTGCATGATATTTCTATACAGGACATCTGTCGTTCATACTCAAGGAAGACTTTATACTGATGAATAAGGTGACCAAGTTTGATAAAGTTTGGAATAGAATTAGTAAAGTTATTGTGCACACAATAACAATTATTAACGACGACGACAACACCGGAAAGAAATTTTCCCCTTAATATACATTTCCCTTCAATCTTTGATGTTACGGGCAAGGTAACAAAATGCATGTCATGTCTGCAGTAAATGGGGTTATATTTTACGTACATCCAGGACAGGAGTATATAAAATGATTCACATAAAAACAAAACAAAGAAAGACGTGCAAATATAATAAGTTCCTTATGCAAAGTTATTTCTAGTCTTACAGCCAGTCCACAGAAATTCATAGATATGACAGGCATATATTGCAGTGATTTTTTTTTTTTTTTTTTTAAGATTTCCGGAGAACTCTATAAATATTCTAAGATCTGGCAAGTTTAGAGAAATGATGAAGCGTTCACTCACTATTGACCGTTGGTTCTGGATTGCAGTCGGTGGAGAAGACGGAGTTGACACAATTATTGATATTCTTGAGGAACGAGTGAAGGCCTTGTTAGACTATATTGATTCGAATGAAAATATACAGATAGTGTCTGATTACTGAGGTTGGGAGAAGGAAGTAACATCATTTATAGTCACCAAATTAAATTTGATTATCCAACAAAGATTGTTTTTTTGCTTTTCTGTTAACCTAGATAACAATTACTATAGTGGCACAGTCAGCTGGTATGCATGCAATAAGATTAATTCATTGATATTTACTATACTGGGGCCAACATCTTGAATATGGCTTAAATCTTTAAGAAACAAGTTGATAAACAGGTTTTCCTACAAAATCTCACACAGCCAAACAATTTTCTTGAATAACATTAAAGCTATCGCTAATGAAATATGACCATAATCCTTAGCAACACCTCACTTTACAGGAAGAATTTGCATTTTCCTTTAAGCCAAGATTCTTGTTCAACTGTAAGGCCGCCCACAAATTGCCTCCTGATTTGGATGACGATTTTGGTTTCTCCCGTATATTGAGTATCAGCAAATTAATTTCATTTAATATCATTTTACGATACGTAACTGTACATCATTATGTTAAGTATCGATACTACTAATAATTAATTGTAGACATATTTTTGATACAAAATAGAACATGGTTCCCATCAAGAAATGTTTGAAATAAGTTTTAAAAAAAAATGAAAATGGCCACCAGTCCGCCAATAAGATCAGATGACGCAAACTATCACATGACCCATGCCGAGGACTTTCAGAAGCTGATGCTATGCTCTCTGACAAGGACAAGTTGAGTTCTTGGTTTGGGTTAAACTGTGAATAGAAATATTCATGTATCTTGCACATATACTTTACTTGAACCAAAAATAGACAACATGTAACAACTATGTACAAAATATGAGAAAAAGTTTTTTTTTATTATTATTATTTTGGCATGGATTACAAGTGGAAAATAACTCAGTATACAGTTTTTTAACAAAGTATGAGGGGAGAATGTTATTAGTTAATAAAATTCTCTGTTATTTGGAAACCTTTGTTACATTAAAATACAATAAAAAGTTGCCCAAACTTGGAAAGAGGAGCGAGTTGAGACCCATATTGCTAAAAAAAATGAACATTTAAAAAAAAAAAAATTCTCAAACACATGACCTAGTTTCGAATGTTCTTTTAAAATAAATTTTGCATAAAATTAACATACATGACATATACACAAATAAATACTATTTGCATAAAATTAGCATGCATAATTGTCATTGGCTAATCTGGATTTGCATGTATAATGCAAATGATTATCTTCATAATTTAAAAAACAAACAAGTTTATGGCGATGACAGTTATTACAAAGATGTCATTCAGCAACAAAGACAAAATTCAAATTAGACAATGACAAAGTACCAATAGTAAATATAAATTTCTGTTCATATTGAATTTGATTTGGATTGTATTGTCCATTTCACTTCCAGTGACAAGTCAGAACAACATGGCTGGAAGTCAGCTATTCCTCCACATTTCCTAGAAACAGCCCCCCCCCCTCCCTTGATCCCAAAGAAGATTATCAGTTTTAAAGTCCTTAGAAAATTAAGTCTTTCTCTGCTGACAAAACTCTTCTATTTAAATTTATAAAATTCAAAGCTTTTAACATTTCAAAACCACATATAAGGGGAAAACATTTGCTGACTTAGGGTGCCTTGTTCACCAACCAGTGACAATTGGCCGATTGTCATTTGAATAATTTATGCAACATCGGTCTCAACCAATAATAATATAATATGCTGTACACCTGTCTAGTTTGATATTACATAGCTTCAATCATAAAATGGATTTACAAAAATGGCAAACTGTTCTTTTTTTTTTAAATAAAATATTACAAACATGATTTATTTGCCAGCAGTATCAGTAACATCTTCCCACTCGTCCTCAGACTAAAACTCAATATAGTTAAAATTTCATTAGAACGCATTAATTTCAAACATCAGACACTGAAAGCAGTAATAAAAAGACAGTTGCAACATTCATCAAATATAGCAATGAATGAATTAAAAAAATTCACAGATAGTGGATTCGACAACTTGTCCAGTTCAGTAAAAAACTAATAACTGTACTAGAGTGATTACAAGGATTCAAATTAAAATACCATAAAAAATGATAATAGTGTTTTAGATCTTGAAACTACGATCCAACAAAGGGATCTTAAAAATTACAATACTGATTAAAATCTAAATGAGCACTTTTCCAAATATTACAATACTGTTGAACTATGACCTTCTCACCCACTGATCACAGAGAATTAAAAACAAAATACATTATCTAGAAGGAAAAAGGTCAAAGTTAAAGTTGAACTGCCAGTCTGTACAAAATAGTTTTCACAAGAAAAGTTTTACTACAAATTAATCCTTCAAGGCAAGTCTTTTTGCTTCTGATTTGTCATGGGTCAGATGCAAAGCAGAGACGTTTCATTTTATTCAGAACATTACAATACTTTGTACAAGAAACACTTTTTTTTTAAAAAACTACCAAAATGTCCGAGTAATACTCGTTACGTAACTAGAACAGAATTAGTGATGAAATGAAATATTATCTACATGAAACATGAACTATGACTGGTGGTCAACCAAACAGCAAATGTGATTGGCTAATGAAATCACCAATCACATTCCATGTTACATAAGTTAAAACTAATAACCACATAAAAATAATTTACATATTAACTTTTGCCAACAAATGGCAAGGTAATAAGACACCATGATACCAGACCAACCACCCACTGTCCCTCAAACTACACATTGCTACCTAAAACTAATAAATAATGTAACAAAAATGGGCCGGCTAGGTCTTGCTTTTCATCTTTTTATCAATATACTGGTTTCTGTCACTGTTTACAATATTGTTTTTTATTTCTAATGCTTTGTCTTCAAAGGAGGAAGAACAGGTACTTCCTGCAACAAAAACAAAGAAATGCAACAATATTGGTAAAGTGCTTTTATGTAAAAATAGAAAAAAGTTAATGACAATGATTATTACTACAAGCAAAACTAGACACACAAACTTTGAACTTGGCCAAGTATTTATATTAAATCAGAATATATAGTAAAATAAAAACAGTTGAATAAATATTTTTTGACTTATTGCACTAACAAGCCAGAGATAACATAACCGACGACAGACACGGCGGACAGAAACTTTCCTTTCCTATACCTTACCCTTCCTCATTTATGATTCGGGCAAGGTAAAGGTGAATGTTTCGACAAGAATACCTAATGTATTCACAAAATCATTGCAGTTATCGCAACCACTGTCACATAGTGGGGATTGAACTAACCCTGCACTGCTTAAGTGCAGACTTTGCCGTGTTCTTGTGATAACCTCATTATTATACATCGTTTTTCTACTTGTAGTACTAATTTAATGAGAGATGGCAGCTTAAAACATTTTACGCTGTGCAAAGGTTTACGGTCACCCTATAGCGATTATGTGTGTAATGTAAATAAAGAAAATTGTTGGAATGCCAGGTCAAAGATGACTGTTAGTGAAGTTTTGGAATGAATGCAAATTTTCACAGAACAGTGAATTCTGTTGTTTTCAATTCCCACTTCTCAGAGACGGAGATACATCACAGAACATTTAATGTTATTTAAAGGCGCACCACTGTACCATGTATTTCCATGGGCTCTGCTCAAGCTGCTGTGGAACACTGGTTGAAAAGCCGTCGAAAATAGCTAAATTCAAGAAAACAGCACTAACTCAACTTTGAGGTAACCCTGAGCAACCAGATTTATGTTGCACATGTGGGGGTAATTTTGTTACACTGTTCAGGAGAGTCTCAACAACTATCCCAATGTACTGTTTTCTGAGATTTTTTCGGCTTTTGCTTTCATCTGTGATGGTTGCCTAAAATACCTGGATGTCCGCCCCAAGAATACTGACATTGTCGTTATAAGAAACTCCTACAGCGGGAAATTTAGAAATAGATTTTGTGGAACCAAAATATGCAAAACATAGTTGCACAACTCTCTCATTCTAAAAATAATAGCTATTAAAACTCACCACCACCGTCACTGTTATCTTCTATTTGTTGAACTTCTAGTATTTTCTGTTTTGTCGTCTCCATCTGGTGAAAAAAAGACCATTTGTTGAATTGATAGATAATGAACAAACAAAAAACTCACTATCAGGGCTTGTGATTGGGTGATGAAGTCACTATCAGGGCTTGTGATTGGGTGATGAAGTCACTATCAGGACTTGTGATTGGGTGATGAAGTCACTATCAGGACTTGTGATTGGGTGATGAAGTCACTATCAGGACTTGTGATTGGGTGATGAAGTCACTATCAGGACTTGTGATTGGGTGATGAAGTCACTATCAGGACTTGTGATTGGGTGATGAAGTCACTATCAGGACTTGTGATTGGGTGATGAAGTCACTATCATGACTTGTGATTGGGTGATGAAGTCACTATCAGGACTTGTGATTGGGTGATGAAGTCACTATCAGGACTTGTGATTGGGTGATGAAGTCACTATCAGGACTTGTGATTGGGT